AGGTCAATAATGGTCGACTAACAGGTTAGACTTGCTAAGAAAATTTTGGACTCGTAATTGGTGAAATGTGCCTATAGCCTACGAAATAGTGCAAGACGTATGCGACACTTGAGAGCCCAATCAGCAAGCTACGTAGCAGACTCTTCCCCATAAAAAAACATAGAGTTAATATCACGCGTAACCGATGGACCACATATCAGATATTAAATTGATAAGAATATATACTACACTTGATCTTAGCCAATAGGCCGAGAAATATGATTGTACGCATTGTCAAGGAATGCTTATCTATGCGATGTGTTAGAGTGATAAAATCTAAATTATCGATGTGGGACTCTTAAAACCAAACCGAGTGAGGTAATCAAGTAATTATATAATTCTCGGCCAATTTTTCTTTTTTGTAAGTTAGCCCATTATTGACGACTATATCCCAATCCGATGATTATTAAAACTAAACCCCATTATATAAGCATTTGCTGTATGTCCAAAAGTTATAACCTAAAGTTCTGTCGCCGGCAAAGAAAAATAGAAAATTTCAAAACCCTAATGTCGCCCAAAGCTAGAGCCATGAACGGCTGTGAAAAGCCACCGCGTAGTAGGAAGAAGAAGAAGAAGCAATCGCCGGCAACAGAACCGGCTTCGATCTCGTTCTTGTCACTTCCTCACGATTTGCTGTTGAATTGTTTAGCACGAGTCTCTAGACTGTACTATCCAACTCTCTCCCTCGTCTCCAAAAGCTTACGATCCATCATTTCTTCATCGGAGCTTTACGAGAAACGATCACGCATGAACCGTACAGAGAAGTGTCTCTATCTTTGCTTAAACTTCTATATAGACACTGACACACATTGGTACACTCTCTGCCGTAAACCTAATCGAACCGTGACCAACAAGTCAAGCAGTGATTATCTTATGGTCCAAATCCCATCTCCCAAGAACTTGCTTCCTACGAAGTTGTCGACTCTTGGATCCGTTGGATCTAATATCTACAAAATCGGCGGCTCTGATGATACTTTTGGCTACGACTTTTCGGTGAGTTACCATTCTTCTAGTGTCTCTGTCCTTGATTGTCGCTCTCACACGTGGCACCAGGTCCAAGCATGGAAACGAAGAGGAGCTCCTTCTCTACTACAAGCTTAGTTGATGGGAAGATTTATGTTGCTGGAGGATGTGAAGACCTCAAATCCTCCAACTGGATTGAAGTGTTTGATCCAAAGATCCAAACTTGGGGAAATGTGACGAACCCCCCTATTTTCGCTAGGAGATATGGTCCTAAAAGCTTAGGACTTGAAGGAAAATTCTAGATGTTTGGGAATGATTTTGTGGTTTATAATACCAAGGAAGATAGATGGAAACCTATAGGCAGTGCCATGCCCAGATTTCCGAGGGCCTGAGGCGAATTTAAAAAAAAAAAGGT